ATTTAATAAACCTCTTTCTTAAAGGATTTTTTATTATAATTATATAAAAAGCTTATTTATTAAAAACCGTATTACTTTTTATTTATTTAATATAATATATCTTTTAATAATTAACAAAATAAAAAAATAATTAAGATTATTAAATTTATTATTATTAATTCTCTTTATATATAAAATTAAATCCTTATTACTTTTTAATACTTCTTAAAATAGCTTATTTTAGTAATACTATTTACTCCTCTATTTATTACTCCTTATAAATAATAAAAAGTAATAAAATTAACTATTAACTTATTTATTTTACCTTACGTTCTTTTTAACTTTTATATTATTTATATAATTTAATATACTCTTTTTTAAAATAATTATTTAATTAATAATTATTCTTTTTATATATAAAATATCTTTTTTTATTATTTTTATTTTAAATTAAATTAGTAACTAATTAAAGAGTTTATTCTTTTTATTTAGTAATTACTATACTTAATATCTCTTCCTTATTTTAGTATATATAATTAAATTAGTATTAATAAGGGCCGTTATAAAATTAGAAGAGTGTTTAATAGGTATTTAAGTTTTAATATTAAAACTAGATCTTAGTTTTAAATAAAGCGTCTTATATTTTTAAATAGTTATTATTTTTAAGACTTTTTATATTATAATATAAAAATATTTTATTTTTACTTATTTATCCTCTTATTTAATTACGTTTTTATTAGCTTATTAATATAGTTAATAAGCTTTTTAAATCTTAAGCTTTAATTTTTTTATTATTTTAATTATAAATTTAAATAAAAATACTTTTAGTTTAAATAAGAGCTCTAAACTCTTATTATTAGTTTTAAAATAACTTCGGATTATATTAATAATACTAAAAAGTTAGTTCGATTAGTTATACGTATTACTTTATAATAATATTCCGTAGCTTTATTAGTTAGTATAATATTAATTATTAAGTAATATTACTATTTTTAAATACTAATTTTTATAATAATTATAAAATATTATAAGGGTTTTTATAAAACTTTATATTTTCTTTTAAATATAATTTTTTAAAAAATATTTTTATAAGGTTTATAAATTATTATATATTAATAATTATTGGGTTACTTTTTATAGATTTTTATAAATTAGAGTAATAACGTTAATTTTACGTAATTAATTTTATATTTTATTAATTAGCTAATAATAAGCTATGTATTAATAATATTATTAAGCTAATTATAAAAATTAATAAAATCGTTATTAATTACTTATTAAAAATAATCCCTAGCCCATATTATAGCTAGTATTAATATATTATTATTAATAATTTTTAATAAAAAGTCTAATTAGTTTACTTTTTATTAAACTCGTTATATTTTAATATTACTTTATTAACTTAGTACTAATTTTATAATATAAATTTATTAATAACGATTATTATAATAAGCGTTTTATAAGCTCTTTTCTTATCCCTTTTCTTATCCTTATACTAATAAAACACTTTAATAATAAAAGAATTAATTAACCCTTTTATAATATTTAAATTAATACTAATAAACTACTCGTTTTTTAATTACTTAGGTTATTAATAATTTTATAAAATAAGAATTACTTTTTAAAACTTTTTATATATAAATTTTTATAATATAAATTAGTACTATATTAATTTATTTACTATTAGAATTATTAAAATCTTTATATACTTACTTTTTTAATATTTTAAATTAATTTTTATTTAATTATATAAGATAGGATCTTTTTTAAAACTATAAACTAACTGACCTTTATTATACCTTAGTTCGTATTTTAATTTATTAAAGTTAGTATATTTAATTTTAATAAAGTTATATTAAAACTACTTATTAATTATAGTATTAACGTACTATTATTACTTATTAAATTTATTAAAGTTTAAGAACTTTCCGTTTCTTTTTACTTTCTTATACCTTATTTTATTAATATTAGCTCTTAATTAATATAGCTATTTATTATCTTTTTATAATCTTTTTTACCTTTTAATTAATTAGTATTAAAAATAAATTTATAAATAGCTTAATAATATCTCGATTATATAACGTTTTTTTAAATTAAAACCTAAAAAGTATATATATATATTAAATAAATTATTATTAATTAGTAATTTACTTTTTATTTTTTAAAATTAATAATTTAATACTATAAAATAATAATATAAAAAGAGCTTTTAAAGGCCCTTTAAAAATTCTTTTTTAATAATAATATAGCTTTTTTAATTTTATTAAAGTTTAAAAATATTTAAAACGTTAGTATTAAAAACCTTAGCTATTTTATTTTAAAATTTTATAATTATTAGTTTTTATAACGTACTTATATAGCGAGTTGCTTATTATAGCGAGTTACCTATTTTTAAATACCTCTTATTATTTTGTAAGTTAATTAAGCTATATTATATAAAATTAATTAGAACTATTTATTAGCCTTTTTTAAAGGTTTTTAAATTACTTAATATATTTATATATTATATTTAGTTTTTATAATTATTATATTGCTATTTGTGCGATTCTTTTCTTTATACGAGTACCCTTTTAATATATATTTTTATTTTTAGTATTAATAACCCTTTTTTATTTAAATTACTTTAATTTTAGTAATATTAAGTAACTCTTTAAGACGTAATTAGGTTTTTAGTTTTTTAGTCTTTATTTAGTATTCTATTTATTATATAAAGCCCGTAGTACTTAGTTTTAATAAGAGCTAGTTTATATATTAACTTATTAATATTTTTAGTTTATAAGTTAATAACTTTATATAAATATATTAATAAGCTATTTTAATAATTATAAATCCGTTTTTTAAAATAGAGCTTTATATAGCGTTATATATTATAATTAATATTTTTGGCCTAAGAGCCCTAGTTATTTAAGTATAAATTAGATAGTATTAGCGTTTTTAATTTAAAATTTATAAAAAAGAACTATTTTTAAATTAAAAGTACGATTTTAATCTATTTAAAACTAGTTTATATATTATTTTTGTTTATTAAAGTAAAAATGCTATTTTAAAGGTGGAAAGAAGTTATTAATATATATATAATTTATATTTATATTATTTTTTTAATTTTTTATTATATAAAGCTTTTAATAGACTAAAATAGTTAATATTAAGAGGCTAAAGCTTATATAATAAATAGAGAGGTATATAAAGAGTAATAATATTATATTTTTATAATAATTGTTAAATTTAGTTAATTTATAATTATTATAGTTATTAAAAATAAAGAGCTGCTTAATACTTTTTATATAAGATTTTATATATTTTTAAAATATTTTAATTAATTTAGGCCGATTTTATTTATAATTTATTTATTTTATTAAGGTAGATATGCTATTTAGGGAATTAGTTATTAATATATTATAAAAGAGGTAATATTTATTTTTATAATAATATATAAAGGTAGTACCTAGTTATCTATATATATACTTTAGATAATAAAAACTTATTTATAATTATTAAGCTACTTTATACGAGGTTTTTATAATAATTAAAGGTTATAATAACCTTTGCGTACGAAAGTATTTTTATTAAAGCCCGTCTTATTAAAATTATAAATATTATTATTATATATTTCGTATTTCGTAATTATATTTTGTACGAGAATAAACTAAGCTTAGATAATTATAAGATCCTTAGTTAATACTTTTTAATAATTAATTTTATATTAAAAACGCGTTTTAGTTATAATTAATATTATATAAAGTTTTTATTTATTACGGTCCGATATACGTTATATTATATTTAAAAAAGTAATTAATTATATTTTATACGTTGTTAAGTTATAATAGAAATTTTTAATTAATTAAGTTAATAATTCGTTTAAAAATTATAGTTTTTTTAAGAAAGTTATTTTTTTAAATTTATACGAGTTTTATATTAAAGTAATAGGCTAGTACGTTAGTTACGAAGTATTATTTTTAGGATATTATAAATAAAAGCTATTTTTATATAGATAGTTTTAAGTTTTTTTAATAGTTTAAAATATAAAGATAATATAACTTTTATTTAAAGAAGAACTTATTATTATACGTAGGAAAGTTATTATAAAGGAAGAGGTTTAAAAAAAGAAAGTGGGCAATTTATTATAATAGGCGACTCGCTATAGGTATATTAATTATTATAATTTTTAAATCCTTTTTTTTTTATAATGCTTTTATATAGGATTTTATAATAATACTTTAAAAATAATTAAGGGGTTACGAGGGGATTATTTAAATTATAAACCTCGAAGTTATATTTATAAAATCTTAGTAATAATAAACCTTTCTATATATTACTAACTTTATTATACTTTATAATTTTTATATAAAGCTAATAAATATTAATAAAATAAAATCTAACTCCTCTTAGTATTTTAAAAATCTCTTTTTATTAATTACGTAATACTTTTTATACTATATAATAAAGCTCGTTTATTATACTAATTAATTAAATAAATAGTTATTATATAAGTAATTCTTTTTATTATATAAGTTATTTTCTCTAATTATAACCTAGCTATAATAAAATTAAATAATAAAAATATATCAAATTAATAATAATAGCTTAGTTACTTTAATACTTTTATTAATTAGTAAGAGTTATTTTAATATAATAAACGTTAACTTTTATAAATAATTAAAAACTATAATCCTTTTATTTTATTCTATTATAAAAATTTATATTTTATTACCTATTTTTATAAAACTAAATAGTATAATTCTCTTATTACGTTCTATTTAAAAAGTCGTCTTATTTATATATAAAATATTTTATTAATTTATAATAATAAAAATTAATTATTAATTAGTATTAGTATCCCTATTATAAAAATATTAGTTAATTAGTTCGAATTATAAGTTAACGTAATAATAAGTCAATTAACTATATAATTTTACTACGTATATATAAAAAGGAGGTTTTAATTATAAGTTAAGTAGGCTATAATAATTAACTATACGGTTAATAGGTGGCCCCTGCGCTGCCGCGAGGTCGAATTAGACTTCTAATCCGATAGTCAATCTCAGAGCCCAATTGAGGTGACTCGAGCAGGCGGCGGGTGTTGATATAAAAAAGAAGTTGTAGCCGGCGTATCTCTACGCTCAACTGTCCTGTGTGCGGTTGGAACACAAGGAGGTGCATCCGTTCTTCAAAGCCATTAAAAATTCCAGCGACGCGGGTGAACAGGCGACTATACGTGTCGACAAGCCGAGAACTTTGGTTCGTGCAGCTGCGATTCTGAACATCGAGTATCCAGTAGTGGTGGCCAATCTTCCATTTGTCGGCATTCGGGATGATGAGTACTTTTCCACTGCGTAGGTCACTTTTTGGATTTGGGAGGTTAGCTGAAGTCCCATTTCGCACACTGTTATCTCGAAACTCACAGCCAGTGAACGCAATCATTCAAAAGAGGGCCGGGTAGATCCCATGCGTCTCGCGATTTGAACTTGCTTCTGTGTATCAATTGGAGGTACTGCTGTCCTTTAGTCGCCCGAATGACAATGGAATCGCCGTCGTAACCAATATCGATGCGATATCCACGATGTTTAACAGTCAGTGCTGGTACTCGGGTCAGTCAAAACCATCTCATTGTCTCTTGGAAATGGTGCTTACTGTAGTCCATGCCAGGCATGTCCGAAGGACGAGTAAGCAAAGCCTGCTCACCGAAAAGTTCCGTGAGGACTTCTGTATGTTCAGGCGGCCTGGGAAGTCTCTGTCAATGAGTCAGCCTATCTCACTACCTCACTAGTAGTCAACGGGTGCGTACTCCAAGGGGACGGTTGTCGACGAGGAGCAATCCTGTGCAAGTATTATACTGAACCGTCTGCATGCACTCTTCCCAGCCGTCATGGCCTTGGATCTCGCAGATAACCCATTCTGACTCAAGCTGGAGAGAATAAATCGTACGAGGACGGCCGTCGGCTTCAGGCCATACTGTCATAATTGCGATCCTGAAGGTGTCGGGTGCAGACGCAATGGACTTGCGTACCAGTGATGATAGACGATATGAGAGCTTCATGTCCGAAATAACAGCATGTTGGAGAATTTGAGGCAATGCGCCGACGTCAACAACCAAGTTGTCCTGGACTGTAATGCAACACTCGATGTACGTTTGCAGCGACGGGGGATCAAGATTCGCAACCTGGTTCGCATGGATGATGTACGTGCGCTTGCAAAGGACCGCTGCCCACAGAGCGTACTGTTGACACCTGCGGGCTGTTTCAACATCTCTTGCTCGGAATGTCTCGAACCGAAGCATTTCAACCCATCGCAAGCAAATTTCTCGTGCTCGGATAATGGTTGGAAATCCCTTTGGGTCGGGGTTTGTGGCCGTCAACGCGAAAGTCCGGAGCAGAAGTGTGATCAGAATGTCCATTTGATATGTTTCGCGCCAATTGGCCTGCACGCTTTCCAGTCGCGTCTGAATCTGCTCCATGAGTCTTCCGCAGAACGACTCGTCTCGAAAGATGTTGTGAGTGGCTCGAAGAAAGTCACCGGAGGTATCTTGCGGGCCGCTTTGGAGGACGAGATGGGTCACCAGAAGCATCGTGACTTCGCTTGAGAAGTTCAAATTTGTTGAAGCTAGTTCCGTGAGCAAGACGATCCAGCGTTGAGCCTTCCAGGTCATGAGTGTTTGCATGGCCAGATATTCGTGGTTATTGATCCCCAGAGGGCAGCTTGACTGGCTAGCAACAACTTCGTAGGAGGACGGACCTGGGCCACTCAACGAGTAGGTCTTTGTCTCCAGCAGCGAACTCCAAGGCGAACTCTTTGGCAAAACCAGAGCCACTTGGTGCTCGAATGAAGGTCGGAATCTCACGCGGCTGGGCCACGTTGAGGTCGATTCGTCAAAGTATCCGAGCCTCAGAGCGTTTGGGCGGCATACACCATCACGTCCTCCATACCATTCAACTGGAAAGGGAACCGAAGTGTAGTGAGTGACATGAACTGTAGAATCCAATAGTAAGACATTTGCTGCATTGCGAGACAGGCACAAGAGGCGGGAAGCCGATCGGCAAGGGAATGAGGGCAAGAGATTTCAGGATACATCGCGAACTTACAAGGCTTTGTAGTCGAGGCTAAGCCAAGCTTATGATGGCTCGGTCTCCAAAAAGACTTTAGCTGGAGATAATCTCTCAGAAGACACCGAGGCGGAATGGATTTGTCATCAAAGTGAGTCGCGAGCTGTCGAAGAAGCCACCATGTCGTATCTCGATATGCCGCATACTCCTTTGGACAGACTAACTCGAAAATGACTGCTCGTGCAACGACAGGGTCACTAGGAAGGGGGTCTTCGAATATATTGATGCGCATGCTTTGAGCTCTCTCCATCATGGAACACCTCGAACAGTTGCGGTCATGGTACCCGCGGCTGTGAGGATTGTGCTCGTCGAAGACGTAAGTGCAGGCGCTGATGTCGATACGGCTGATCAATTCGTCGTATTCCTTGCTTTTCCTCTTCCACTCCCGTTGTTTTTGATCGCGCATATTGTTGGCTAGCTCAGTGATTGCTCCGTGCAAATCTTCCAAGGCCAGCCCGTCGCTTGATTCCTTATAGTACCGCTCAGCAAAGCAACCCGGCGATGGGTCCTCAAAGATATTGCGGCGGCTAGCACTGGCCTTTTTAACGCGAGCTGACAGAAGGTCTTGGAGCATGCTAAGGCGCCTCATATCCACAAGCTGCGGTAGAAGAAGAACATCGAGCATTTGTGGGTAGAACATTGGATGAAAGTCCGTCAGCAGGGGAAATGAAGCGCAAGCGATCGAATCCATCTTGATCCACAACTCCATGACGGTCAGAAGCATCTGGCTTTTTTGTTCTGCGTTGCCCTCATACAAAGGAATTGCTGTATGGATGTAGTCGAAGATTTGTTGAGAAATCTGTGCGCAGGAATCTTTCGACGCTGCAAGGAGCTCCGTCTCGGTGTTAATCAGCGTATGATAGCGCTGAGCATAATGACTGAGATGATCTTTGGGTGTCTCGATCGAACCTTCGCCTGGAACTTCCCGATATTGTCGTCTTCTGCGTGGCGCTCTGTGGCTCACGATGACCTTTCTAATGTAGTCATAGCTCACCTTAAGGCCAAGCTGCAATTCCAAGAAAGAGGCTTTCTTTGGGAGCGTGGGGATTTGCTTAGTCAAGCTCTTCCTCGTCTGAGTGATCGCCCGATGGAGAAAGTAGGAACACTTGTCAATGGTTGTGGTGAAGGTCGGGTTGAGGCGATTGAAGAGAAAGTCGTATCTCGAAATGGCTGCACGATCCTGGGAGCGGCTTCTATCCAGGTCAACTTTGACAAGTCGGCGGCAGACTTTCTTTTTCAAAAAGTGTACTTTCTCAGTGCCAGCTTGGAAGGCGATTGTAGCGTCGAGAAACGTTGACAAAAGCACGCACATGAAGAACTTGTATTCAAGACGACCTTGCTCCGGACTCAACGACAGACAGAGGAACCTCTCGATGCAGACGCGCAGGATGAGGTAGTAAGGTAATCTGCGCCATGGCTTTTTGGCATGATCCCAGCAGACGTCATCGCGAACACGCTTCCTGAGAAGAATTGGAGCAACACGGCGGCCGTTTTCTTCCAGGATTGCCATGAGTAGAGAGGTGATGATGGAAGGGTCACCAGTGTTTCGATACTCGAAGACACTAGTGCCGGCCTTGAAGGCGTGGGCAGCGAAGTCCTTGACGGTTTCTAACGACGCCTGCTCAATGAATGTGGCTAAGCTTGATTGAAAGTGATGATCGGCGAAGGTCGTGAACGGGATGGCGACTGCAATGCCGGGGAAATCCCAGAGTAGGGCACTCTTGGTGGCCAAGACATTTTCATTCTTAGCAGACGCTTCAAAGGCCTCGAAGATGACACTGTCGTTGAATATGGGACTGGAAAAGTGACGTGTCAGCGGTCCATAGACTTATGAAGACGATTACTTTTCAGAGTGGAGGAAAACTCACTCCTGTGATCGACGGATGATGAGGCCAGCATTCTGTTTCTCAATATGCAGAACAATGCAGCCAGACGAGTCCAGGTCGTGTAGTTCTCGAAGAAGAACTGTCTTGTCAACTCGCCCGGCTGCGTTGAGATGCTGACAAGCGGCGAGTGTTTTGCCAATTGAGTCCCAGACATTGCAGTACTGGTCGGCATTGCCAGGTAATTCGCTCATGAACTTGGCGGCGGCAGCCAGACGCTGAACGAGCTCAGACTCGATGAGCTGGATTTGCTTCTCGGGGTCCTGCTGCTGGGGGAGTTTGGCTGGCATTGCCAGGTGGTTGAAAAGCGCATCATGGACGGCCGCTGGCGATTCCAGCGAGGGGTCCATGGTGGCCGGGATCTTTCACTCAGTCGCACAGTAAGGTAAATTAGTGATTTCGCTTGAAGAACGGGGATGTCTTGGGATGAAGATGAGGATGGCGGATTTTCTCGAATGGACGATGTGAGATACGCTGTGGTGGGTTGAGAGGTAGAGATGTACCCTCAGGTAAGGTAGAGAGGAAGTTTGAGAGATATTGAGAAAAACAAGAAGCAAGAAGGAAAAGAAAGACGAGATGGTTGAGCAGCACCGCAAGGAGGAAGGAGCAACGTTTGGGTCGGAATAGTCAAAGGTGGGTCCCCAATTCCGAGACGATTGACGGGAATTTGAACTGGGAAGGCGCATTTGGGGCATAAAGCAGGCAGGCACGGTCCTTCCAGTATCCTCGACTTTCTTCCACTGCAGTTGCCATCGGAAACCTGCAGTCGCTGCCTGAGGTGCCTTACCTAAGGTAAAGTACCTTGCCTTGAAGTGAAAAATTCCTTGGGAGTCTGATCATCTGATGCACTTGGCATTGGATTTCATGATATTCACAGTGCAACAAAGGAAGGCAGAAGTGGACTCGGTGCAAAGATTTGCGATGAAAGATCAAGAGGAGGAAAGAAAGGCTTCATGTTGGATATACAACCTTCTAGTAGATTGTAGACCTTTGAATAACAACAGGCAGGAATGTAAAGAAAGACAACGGAGACGGCAAACTACTCAGAGGCAAGCTAATGAAAGCTAACATCATCCAGCCTCCTTCTCCAAGCATGAAGGAACAATGAACCCCAGTCCGTTAAGACGACCACAGCATCACCTAATTCGAAGATGGATATCTCACCTTCGGAAAGTTGTTCAAACTTCCAACCGACGACGCGATACGCCTTTGGATAGTCTAAGCGCTTGTTATTGTGTCATTTATGATATTTACTTATTCATGCTCGGTTCTCATGATATGTCATGAATTTGGACATAGTTCTCTGGTTGATTTTCAAGTTGCCATTCTTCCATTCCTGGTCGACTGTCAAAAGTCAAGGTGGTACGCGTCCGGGACGCGCGGTGCCAATTGCTTCGAACTATAGTCCACATTGGTTGAATGTTTTCTTGAGCACTCGAGTAAGAGAGGTAGTTGGCCAGGAAAGGTTCATTTGCAACCGCAAACTGAGGTACGGTAGATGAGGTTTGTTGATACAGCGCGTTCGGGGTTTGTCTGCTGCAGTTGAAGCCAAACACCAGATGGCGATAACTTGCTTATATAATCAGTTGACAAATCTGCATCGCCACAAGTGCACCAGCCTCACCACCCCACCGCTCGATTGAGCCGGGCCCAGCCACAAGCTACCTTCCCTTACAAATTGTCATAACTGCAACAACTAACACCGCCCACGCCTTCATAGGCCAGGCCATGTGATGCAATTAGCAGGTGTGAGTTTTGAGATTACATTCTACTATTATATTGATCTCAAAACTTCATGATGATGCTTTCGATCGGAAGATGTCTCACGTTCAAGCTACCATCGCGCCAACAAATCTAGCTTTGGGGATCTCTGGGATGCCCTTTCTGATGTTTATGTACCAAACCAGTGATTGCCACCTTTCAGCCTAATTAGAGAGATATTCAATTAGTCCATTCTGACGTCAATAATTATGCTTGCATCTTATGTGTGTAGTAAGTAGTTGGTACGAATTTTGATCACAGAGTTGCTCGGCGATGCCATGGACGTCGCGGGGTGCCAGCTGAGGGCATGCAATTAGGTAGGAAGCATTCACAATGTTGAAGACTCATCCGTGTTTTGTAATACTTGACTGAGGATATCCGTGCAGAACTATATGCCATGTCCCCGCGCAAAGATTTTCAGAGGTAGATATGCAATCCTTGATGACCTCGCTGCTTGCTTGGAACAAAAGTAAGTAATCATGCAGATGGCATTTAGCAACTATGAATTTATTATAGAAAGCTGGAAGCATTGACAGTATTTCCTGAGAAGCTAGGTATCACATCTTGTCCTGAAGCGGAGTCAAAGTCAGCACTATGATTAGTTAAGTTCCAGTGCCAACACCATCTGCGTGGGGCATGGCGTGATCGTGGAGTTTCACGCTTGTTACCTTAATGTTATACCCAATATCTGTAGCTCGTCGCTTTCAGTTGGCCATTTCATCTTATCGAAACTTCGGGGTCAACTTCGGCAGTGTTAATGTGGATCCAATCGTCACGGTTAATGCCAGCCCTGCTCGTCTGCGTCCACCTTTGATCCTACGTAGTGCCGGGGAATTGAAGCTTGGTGTTTTGAAGCAGCTTACCACGCCCACTTTCACAATTGCGTGCTGCTCTTGTTATCTTGACTTGCCCATAACTCTGCAGTATTGATGCAAACTCTGAAATTCCGAATTCCTATGGAGCCTGACGTGCTTGCCAACCTGAGGGTGCTCACGGGTGATAAACTCAGCTAACTGCTGCTAACTGAAAATGCTAAGTGTATTCTCAACTTTCTCGAGAGCGGTCTCAATCTTCGTACCTCTTATCCGAATCACTAAAGTATCAAATCATTATGGCTCTCGAGCGATTGGGTCAGGTCTACCGATCATGTCTTTTTCAGATCATCATTGTTGGTATTGTAGCATTTTGTGAGCCAGGAATTTGGACGGCATTGAACAATCTCGGGGCTGGCGGAAACGCATCTGTAAGTCTCAGTCTTTACTGAATCGTACTTCACCTGCTAAGAAGTCCTGTTAGCCTCTCTTGAACAATGCCGCCAACTCTCTTACATACGGACTCATGTCTGTGGGATGTTTCATTGCAGGAGGTATCACGAATAAGATTACAGCAAAATGGACTCTTTTCATCGGCGCGGCATTCTACACTCCCTACGCGGCAGGGCTTTACTGCAACAACCGCTATGGAAACGAGTGGTTTTTACTGCTTGGTGCCGGGCTTTGCGGCATCGGAGCATCACTGTTGTGGGCGAGTGAGGCAGCCATTGCCGTCGGCTATCCTGAGGCGGAGAAGAGAGGCCGGTGAGTTCTTTCCGGTCGGGCTCTTTAACACATGGGTAGCTACCGACTGACAAAAAGCCCCTTAGTTACGTCGGAATCTGGATGGGTATTCGACAAATGGGACCCCTCGTTGGCGGCGCAATCTCCTTGGCGCTGAATATCAAGACAGCCGAAAAGGGCAAGGTCACCTACACAACGTATCTCGGCTTAGTTGCCATCTCATCGTTGGGAGCACCCGCTGCTTTACTGCTATCGCAACCCCAGAAAGTTATCAGAACCGATGGTACAAAGATTCCATACATGAAGCAGACCAACTTCGCCATCGAAGCTAGGGCCATTTGGAAACAGCTAAAGAACAAGTACATGTTGCTGCTTATACCCGTTTTCTTGGCTGGCCAGTTCGGCACAACCTACCAAGGAAATTATCTTACAAGTACGTCTCTGACATAGGAACGTTTATTCATGGCCATGTAAGTAACTAACATTAAATCGAAAAGCGTACTTCACCGTCCGGTCCAGAGCCTTGGCATCATTCCTGACAGCCATTGTCGGTGCCGCCGCGAACATAACCACCGGCGCAATTTTGGACGTCAAACGATTTGAACGCTCTGCCAAATCCAAAGTCGTCTACATCATAATTCTCGTTTTCATCTCGACCGCATGGATTTGGAATGCCATCATTGAGACACGCCTATCCCGCATGGAGGACCCGCCGTCTTTCGACCTCGGTGATGGTCCATTCTTCAACTCTGCATTTACAGTCTACATGTTCTTCAAGTTCTTTTATGAGATGTTGCAGACATATATCTACTGGCTGATGGCTGAGATCAAGGGCGCTCAGGGTGATGGTGATATCGCGCGCACCACGGGAATCTTACGATCGTGGGAATCGATAGGCAGTACAATTGCCTACGCCGTTGGCGCAACACACTGGCCCAATAAGAACCAAATGATTTTGGGATTCTCTCTTTGGGCTGTTACTATTCCTTTCACGCTGCTTGCCGTTTTTGGTAACTGGAACCAAGGCGAAGAGGAGACTCTGAATAATTCAGATGAGACTGAGAGTGATCTGGGTGTCGAGAGAGTTGCGATTCAGAGCAAGGGGGAGCAAGTATGAGGTGCTTTGAGAGCCTCTCTCCAATGAGTAATGCCCCCGATATAGGGCAAATATCACATAATCCATGAATGGTGAGGCTTGGATTATTACAATCCACAAAGCCACCACCATCGAGACCTATGTCGCAGGAGTAGAATTAGTCATGAGCTATCATTGGGCGATAATGGAAGATGAGGTCAGGCAAGTTTCAAGTACAGATCACTCTTAAACGCATGTGCAGAAGAATGTCTTCTTGATCACTTGAAATATGAGAACCACAAAATCATCTGGAACTTCGATCAGAGGCGACAGCATATCGGCAACTAGTCATCGAGAAAATGCAAAGTGTCAATTTCGCCCAATTAACTAAGATGTGGTAAAATGAATGCTATCAATGTCCAACGCCAAGGGTGAGATGCTGAAGTCTCCCCATGATCAACGCCTCCAGTCCTTCTAGCTTCTACCTCCCAACAACTTCAAATTAGAATGCAATCGCCTCATCAAGACACATCTTCTTGTTGTCGTCCATCCTACCCTTGCCTCTACTACAGCAGTCGATCGCCGCACAAAGCTGTGAGTCACTCTGGCTCGCCGTAGCTGTCTTTGGCACCTGCTGCTGCGCCGGCCAGATCTCGCTGCCGGATTGTTGCTCTTTCTTCCAGTGCTCGGTGATGATCTCGCGCACGGTCTTCTGGAAGAAGAGAGGACCCTTCTCCATCTCAGGGTGGAGCTCGCCGTTGACAAAGATGCCAGCGTTGATGTTCTTCTGGGCGTTGGCGCAGAGGTACTTGTCCTCGGACATGATGCGCTTGTACATGTCACTAATGACGTTGAAGTCCTCGTCGCTAGAGTTCTTGTTGCGGTAGACCTCATAGCGCATCTGGGACTTGGAAGGGCCGTCAGGAACGAATCGTTGGATGAAGAAGAAGTGTGGTCTTGAAGAGATGTTAGCAAAGCATCAAAAGTTTAATGAGTATTTGTATAACTTACGAAACGTTCATGGAGGCGTTGGGCCAGAAGTAGGTAGCAGCGACACGGAAGCCCTTGGCAATCTGCTCAGGTGTGGGCTGGCCAAAGTGCTGAATGTATGCGTTCTGAGTGTTGACGAAGTAGGAGTTTAGGTCTGCGATGGAAGGGATATCTGGGTGGGCGGTCGGGCAGTGATAGCACTCGTTGTAGTTGTCGGCCAGGATCTTCCAGTTCCACTCTCCCTCCATCTCCCAGTGGTGGTCAAAGACGTAGTCCTCAAAGTTGTAATGCTCGAATCTCTCCTGTTCGTCGATGCCGAGGAAATCGTCGTTCCAAGCAATCTCGGGCTTCTCGGCAGCATCAAGGTTGACCCAGATAAAGCCGTTGCGGTCGACGTGAACGTGGATGGGGAAAAGGTTGTTCTGAGACTTATCGAAGCCCGCGAGCTCCTGGTATCCAGGAGCCTTGGCCAAGTTGCCTGCCAGACCGTAGGACCAGCCATGGTACTTGCAGGAGAAGACGTAGCTGTTTCCCTCTTCCTTGGTCACAACGGGGAAAGCTCGGTGCCGGCAAATGTTGTGCATGGCGTTGATGTTTCCCTTTCGGTCTTGGACAATGATGAATTGATAGCCGGCAACATCGTAGCGGACCCAATCACCCGGGTTGGGGATTCGGGCCTTGTGTGTAGTGAGGAGCCACTTTCTGGAGAAGATGGCACGGCGTTCAAGCTCATACATTTCTTGAGAGGTGTACCAGGAGGCAGGAAGGGCTCTGACAGGGGTCTTTTCATCCTGGGCAGCAGGCTTGGAGCCGCCGAGGCCAAAGTAGTTCTTGAAAAGTGACATTGCTAAATCCACAAATCTGTGTGAAATGATAGCTCGTTGGAAACGATGAGAGCTGGGGAACTGGAGCTGATGCTCGGTAGTTGTAATCTGATGATTGTGGTCTGATTTGGGTTATCTACAACTCTATGAACCGAGATGGCAGTCCTTCTATATAGCCATGATAAGCCCTGGCCGGTCGACTGCGTCCGTGTTTCGCCCTTTCCTATCTCTTGGACTGGAAACCATCGTTTGGGCCGGCCGGTGCTCGATGTCGCACACCGAACGCCTCTGACAATTCCGGACACCCATAGCCATCAGGTGGCTGTTGATGCGGTCGTGAATACCGATCACATGACCGGCAAACACATCTCACGCGGACCGATTCGCACTCCAAACACCATGGGGTGGGATATACGGACCGAGCCGCGCTATGATGGTAGAGTTCTGGGCGAACTGGGGGTCCTTGAGGGCAGTGGAGATAAGATTCATCATGATGCATTGCTTGATGCAGCGCCCACCCCCAGGAGTCTAGACTCTCCCTACCCGTGTTTTGAGCTGGACATCCTCCCATGAAGATCCGGTCCATCTCTACTCCGTACACACAGACTTAAGGTTGCTCATCCCTGCTTATCACAGCTTCGACCAGTCATCACCCTCAGAAGCTCCCCCAGTCGGTGGAGTCAGTATCTGTCACATATCTGCCACTAACGAGTATCCTTTCCCAATCTGGAAACTTTTCACTGTGCATTCTTCATTGGGTAGTGCCCCAGACCCCGCCTCGTGAACGCCCAGGCGGTTTTGACTCCATTGGCACCCGATAGTTACACGTCGTTTTCCAGCCGCTGGCCATCCTCGATGCCAACAACGTAATGCCCTTGGTTCCATTGGCATCAATGTAGCACTGTGTTCGTCCCATTCGCTGCACTCTGCGCTCCAGACGTACCATGTGTGGCGGCTCGGCGTATGTGACACCGTCGGCGCACTAGTCCGGATACCCTTCGTGCGTTGGCCGCCGTGCATCAAGTCCAAGTGCCTGTCACGCTCGGTACCAGACCGGCACTTTGCACTACATTGTTGATCCATGATGTAGGGCACAGCTGTCAACGAGTCAACCACCTGGTCAAGTCATACCATACAGGCACACCGAGGATTCCCGTATCTATCGTCATGGTGTTGACCATATCTGCTGTCTAGTGTATGGAGAAAACGACTAACTCAGGGAGATTCTGGTAAGGATCGTTGCCCGGCTTATACTGGGTCCCAGTGTCTTATCGTGCTTCATCCGGGGGCATCCCTGGTCTTTGCCCATGAGTTATGGAACATCTAACCGAAGTAACTCAAAAGGTCAGCCAAGGCCCATTGTCCGTCTTCGACCTACAAGATAAACTTGCATTGCAGTGTTTCTATTCCAGAACGCGAGGATCACGATCTGGTGATGCTCATGTTTTGGATGATAGAGAGGAATACACCACACAAAACAAGCCGGTCCCCGGATAACTTGATTCGTCACGTGATCGGTAATCGGAGTCTCAGCCGACATCGGGACCCCTTCCGCTCTTGGAGGCGGGGGAGTCCACACGGGTAACCGATAAGTAAACCGTCTTCTCGCTCCGTGAAAGTGACGATGCAAGGTATTCAAGGTAACACTCGACTTATTTGTTTCCGTCTCTCTGTGCCGTCCTGGGAACCTCCATAGTCGGAAGAGATCTCTGTTCTGCTTGGCTGCAAGAGTCCCCTTTTGACCAACTTCTTCCCCCCCCCTTCTGGCCGATCCATGTCATTCTACTTTTTCAACAAAATGGACCAGAGCAAACCCTCCTATCTCATTGTCGGCGCTGGCGTGTTTGGTGTGTCTACCGCCTATCATCTTATCAAGAAGTACCCCGATGCATCCGTGACCCTGGTCGACAAGGATGCATTCGACGCCGATGAGCGCGTGGCCGCCTCATGGGACTGGAACAAGGTGGTCCGCGCCGACTACGACGACTTTACCTACTGTCAGCTAGCCCTGGAGGCCCAAGACACTTTCAAGAACGACCCTCTCTGGCAGCCCTATTTCCACCAAACGGGTGTTTACTGGATCTGCCGAAGCGACTACGCCCAGAATGTTATAGACCACCACAAGAAGCTCGGCCGCAAAGACGATATTATTGCCTTGCCCATCTCTGAAGCCCGTAAATTGTACAATGGTCTTTTCGAGGATGCTGACTACTCTGGAGCCAAAGAAGTTCTTGTCAACCGGGCGAGCGGTTGGGCGGCTGCTGGTGACTGCTTAAGAGCTGTCACTCGCGAATCCATCAAATTGGGCGTCAAGTATGTGACGGCTGAAACTGCTTCTCTGGAATTTGACCAGCGTGGCAACTGCACAGGTATCAAGATGACGACGGGGGAAATTCTGACTGCGGAACACACTATTCTCTCTACGGGCGCTTACACGCCAAAGTTGCTAGAGTTGAGTGCCGCAAAGAGCGGCCTGAGCAACCTCCGAGCCGGCGACCGTATTCTGGCCGCCGGAATTACCACTGGTATGGCAGAGCTTGACGAAGAGGAATACAAGAAATATGCCGACATGCCCGTTGGGTTCCAGGGGTACACAGGACATGGTAGGCTTTCTCTCTCTGTTTTTGTCTTTGTCAACAGCTTCACGCCTCTTTCTCCTTCCGCCTTGCGACTAGGCGGGGAAAGTGACTCACAATTGAAACAGGCAAGCCCTTTATTGGAAGCATTCCGCCGACGAAGGACAGAGAACTCAAGTGGTGGGGATCCAAGATCTTCTCAAATACCAAAGAAATCCTCCCTGGTCGCCACGTCTCAGCGCCTCCACCGGCAAAAGATTACAGCCAGTGGAAGGTGTCTCGCCAGCTCAAAGAAGATATCATTGAGCAGCGCAATCTGTGGTACGGGAAAAAGAGCGCAAACTGGAAGATGACAAAGCACCGGATCTGCTGGTAAGTCTCTCGTCAACGGTCAAGCCATGTTCTGGGTCCCAAAACAGCGTGCTTACCGTGCATTTAGGGACGCCTTCACAACTAGCTCAGACTTCATCATCTCTCCGCACTCGGCGGCCAAGGGTCTGTATCTCGCCACGTGTGGTTCATTCCACGGCTTCAAGTTTTTCCCTGTACTTGGCAAGTACGTGATCCAGATGCTGGAAGACTCGCTATCGCCAGAGCTGAAGACGAGGTGGGCGTGGGATCGTGAGCGCCCGGATCATCTCCAGAACCCAGAGTATCCCAACTCTGAGTTGACCGACCTTGTGGACCCGGTAGCGAGGTTGTGATATGTGAGGCATTTGGGTTTCATATGTAGCTGCATCGGCATAGATCAACGGCGTACATACATGCTTAGTGGAGTTGACTTGGTAATCCAAGGTTTCATGAAAGGATACTGGTTCCCACTCTTCACGTCACCGCGTGCACAAAACACTGGAAACACGATGATTCATGACAGGTGGGTTCTCAGTTAGGCACGATATTTGCATGCCGAGGACAAGTCGTCGTGGCTAAAGCAGAGACAGCCTATTAGAGGTGTCGCATTGTCAGTCTGCATGCTAACGGGCATTTAGCTTCTCCGCGCGGTAGGTGAAGTCACATCATTCTCTCTTTCTTTCTTTTACCGAAGTCCGAGACACCATTTCTCCCTACGGTCAGGCACCGAGCTAGAGATCAAGCATGGGACCTCCAAACCGTTATTGACTTTGGGCTCAGCCGTGTAACACAAGTAGGGTACCTTACCCCTACCACCAACTATTAGTGAACACGCCGACCAGACGATCAAACAAGAACCCCATTAGTCTGGAAAGAGGAGCAGGCTGACTGGATTGGATTCGCTACTTTGCAAGATAACTTACTGGCAAATATAGTTCGTCTATGGCTTCTAACTTGGTGGCTTGATGATGGAGGTTGAAGATCACGATGAAGTTGTCGATCTCGGAAGGTCGGCTTCCCGAATTGTCAGTGAATACTTTGGTAGGCAGGCCACGTGACAAGGATATAGTCTTAAGCGGTCCTTCTTATCTCTCCTGACTCTTATTGTTTATGCTTTCCGTCCCTTATCGAGGGGTTGGCTTACCTAGGGGGGTTAGACTAGGAGGGGGATGCATGGTGACGGGGCGCCCCTCATCGGTTTAGTCCGTACGGTGCGGGGTTCGTGGCAAGGGGTGTTTATAATTTCGAAAGTATTTAGTGGAGGCATGTACGCTTCCGGGACCCTTTTGCAGTGCTGCTCGTGTCTTCTTCCCAGGGCCGTGAGATTCGTCAATGTCATGCCGCCAGAGGAGGGCTCCATCAGTTCGGCCAGCTTGAGGGGGAGAAGACGCTCACATCATGCCTGCCTCACTTGCAGGTCTGCCGCTTTTGCCAACAGGAATTCATTTCTTTTTGTGATGGGGTTGCTCGCTGACGCTTGTTCGCGCCGTACAGGAGAAAAAAGACGCGGTGCCCGGGTGAGAAGCCGGCGTGCTCGAGTTGCGTCCGGCTGTCTCAGTCATGCTCTTACCCTGCGGTGAGACCTTCGCAAAGCGGAAGATCGGTATGCATGCCATAAACACTCTTGCCCCTACTGATATCAGACGCCTTACCACCGATAGGATGAGAGACTGCAAACTTTGGAAGAGAAACTGGATCTCCTCCTCAGTGGAGGGGGCTTGTAATACGACACCGCACGCGAACATGCTTCGTTCAGACCATCTGACCGGGTTCTTAGACCGAACCACCACGCTCGTCAAGGACAACCACAAACACAACAGCAGGCAACGTTCGAAGAAGTCACCGATGCGTCGGAAAAGTCATTTTCAGCAACGCCACCATCTCGGAGAAATCGTCAAGACTACCCGACCGACAACAGCAATTCTGTCGTCTTTGACCCAGATGATATGGCGACGGGCATCAATCTCTACTTCAAGTACTGCCATCGACAACCGATCTGGTGTTTTGAGAGAGATGAAGTCGGCGACTACGACTCTTTGCCAGAAGAGCTCGCCAGCAGTATCCTAGCGCTGACATCGCGGTTCTCTGAGCAACGCGATCACATGCAGCTCTTCAGCAGTAACGCAAAGACACTCATTATGCTTCGAATTGCGAATGGCACGGTGGACATCACCACAATAGAGAGTTTATGTCTTTTGTCTTACGCCTCTTTCATAGGTAAGTACCTCAGCGTAGAGCGTCGTCGTGATATGATTGAAATAGGAAACTGATCTTACAGACGGCAATGTGCACCTGGGCCAATTTCACCTGGGACTTTCGCTTCAGCTGTGCCGGTCAGCTATGCTTGACATGGAATCTGTTTATGCGGTGGATGATTCCACAACGGACCGGAAGAAGAGGCTTTTCTGGAGCCTCCAATTACTGGAGCAGTCCTACGGCCGCCAGGATGGATTATTGAGCTTTCCCAACGACGTGCGTCGGCCAACTCTTCCGTCAAGCGGAAGCCAGTCGGAGCAGGACTCATGCAAGGCACCACCACTACCACGAGATGACCTCGGGACCTCTTCTCCTGGCGAGACGGGCATCTGGAACACGAGTGTCTGCCTAGGATGGGTTTGGAGCCAAGTTAGGAAGTATGTCTCGGATTGCTCACGCAACATCCTCAAGGAACCATGGCGGCATGACTCTACCTACGCCAAAGTCCTCTCGGACTTTATGGAGACCGAGAACAGGATACCCATGTGCCACCGTTATGACTCTGTCAAATTTTACGAACGGAAAATCGACGAACTCAAGGTGAACCGGGACTACTGGGCGCCATGGTTAAAGGAGCAATTCACCTACCATGCGATACCCACAGTCCTGAATCATCCGTTTCTCTACATTGTTGGAGCCCAGCATAACCCGAACCTCGGAATCCCAAACACATTCTGGAGGAGGTCTTCAGAACAAGCGCTGCTCCACGCCACTTGGATTGTCCGGATGATTGACATGGTTGTCGACAAGCAGGTGCCGCTGGTAGACCCTTTCTTTGGGCATGTCGCTGCTATTGCTGCAACGGTCCACCTTTACTATTGCTGCGCGGCGGCGGCGAGGTTAAAGCACAAGTCTAATACGGACTTTGCTAAGTGCAGAAGATTCTTAAAGAGCTTCATTCCTTGTTCGGCAGCCTGTGGCGCATTGGTGAGTAGGAAGACAGTCGCGCATGACGTTCTTCATGGTTGACCATGATGTCTAGGACCGTAACCTCGACAGGATGACCCGCATTGCTGCAGGAACCGAGAATATGGACGTAGAAGACTGGATGCCTTCTAAAATCTACCTAAGCGTTCCTTTAATGTGGGAGATTCTTCAATTCAACTCTACAACCGACTGTCAGGAAATCCCAACCGCCGGCCTCCTAGACGCATCACTCACACCTGCCGTACCGCCCGTTGATACTAGCGACAGCTCAACCCTCGAAATCATTGTCGCCACATCTCCGGAGATCACCATCAATATTGCAGACGGTGGGCAAGAGGCGCCGACGTCGACATACAAGAGGACGCACAACGTTTCCTCTAATCCGGCGAATTCAACAGCGACATCCTCTTCGTCGTCGTCTACGTCACGAGCCGCAGTTTTTGACCCGCCGACCGTGGAGCAGATTGACAGCCTGACCTTTAATACCACGCCATGGCTATACGCGGACCCCTCGCAGCTCGTGGGCATTGGGGATATGAGCTACCCGCAATCGGAACCGGGCAACGCATGGTGGGAAGGGGAAAACTTCAACAATATCATATTTAATCAATTTTAGCAATGAACAATGTTTCGCCACACAATTCCGGTTTCTATCCAGTGATAAGCACGTATATAACACCTTGTTGACTTCATGTCTTGTGTCTTCTTGATGTGCGAAACAGTCACTCAAATGTTTGTTTTGTTACAAAGCTGAGCAGCCATGGTAGACCTCTGTGAGCAGCATGATCAGGTAGTGTCATGTCGTGAACAAGACTATCCTTCAGGCCCCCTTGTGGCATGGATTGAAAGGCGCAAAACAAGGTGACACACGATGCTCGAGTCATTGATTCGTCCTTGATGTTTATCGTAGGGATCCGTCACCGGACAGACACGGTGACACGAGGCCATCAAAACGCCAAGCAAGAGGCCACGATGGGATAATTCTTAGGTAATGTGAACCACCTCACCTCAGGTAAGTCACCGAGGAAAAACCTACAGCCCTTGCAAACGCGACGCCAGGCGGCTTACGGACTTGGAACGGCGCTTCCTTGGTGAGCCCCCGACTGCGGTGGATCATGCGGGGGAGTAGGCAGGGATCAAGCTCTCGTTTTAGACGGACTTTTTGGATAAAGGCAAATCGGGGATGTCACGGATGGGGTAGCCGGGTAGCCTGGCTCGTTAGGGTTGCAGAGCGGTTAGAAAAGGCTTCGGAGTGATAGGTCATGTCCCGTCCGACCAAGATCGTTCTAGACTGCTCGATGGGTCAGTCTCCTTGGCCCCGAACATGCCGACCCTCACGAGTTCAGTTGGGTATGACAGGACACACATTCGCTCATTTGATTTGGCTGGCGCGCACAAGCTTGCCGCCCGTCTGGCTTATTATTCGGCAGGAGGGAAACAGAGACTCGAAGAGGTGTTCGTCTGCCCCCAACGGCTAGTCTTCTTCACCCCCTCCTCAAGCGCCTAGCTTTCCCTTTCCCACGCATGCCAAGAATCAGGGTCCTGAGCCAAACCGTTTTTGCTGCACAGTAGCATTTATAGCCTTACCGTTTTGGAGATGGCGGTTCCCCCTGTCTTGTGGAAGCCGGATACCGACTGCCATGGGCCGCTTCTTCCTCTGTCATGGAATCCGGTGCAAAGCACTTGCCACCCAGGCTGACAACGAAGCGCCAAAGAGGTCAATGACGATCTTCTTCTGAGTTCGAATAATCCGCTCTTGACGATCAATAGGGTACTTAGGACGCGTTGTTCTGCTCACTTGTTATCCCCACGTCGCATAAGAGCGAGCTGCGATAGCATGACTCAAGCGGGCAAGACACTCCGAATGTCAGCTTTGGTGCGCCAAACATCCCACCCCCGCCGACTGACTTGCCAGCGCACGATCCGTAACGCCAAGTGTGGTGGGCAAACGACAAGGTTGGGACTTGAGGGCGACAAGGAATTCGGGGTCACGACGACTACATGGAAGGTTTCCATTCTTCCCATTCACGGGGTGACGGGATCCTCAGAAGGTGTGCAGTCGTGTTTTGGCTCGTTTCGACATGAGCCCGACTCGGTGGAAACCAATGCGATGCTGATATCGAGTTCTGTCATGATAGTCCAATTGCTTGCGTGTGATCGTTGACTTTTCGGACGATTTCCCGGCGGCCGGTTGGCCAGACTCTCACCGACACTTGCTTATAGCAGAGTCTGGTATCGTAATAGTCGGGAATTGGATGAACGGCACCTTGCCTGAAGAGATTGCGGTTATCGCAACTTTGCAAGCACAGTGAAGGGTCCGATTGAGAGGAGCTGGTTTGCGCGTCGGGGCTCTTGGCTGCACGTTTGGGTCATGGTGATTGCACAACGGCTACGGTGAAGGAAGATGCGCGAACGATCACAAGCTGCACTATGTGATGATGGGAGGCGATGCAGGAGGGGGTGGATGTCCAACATCGGAGCGTGGTAGCAAACCGGTTGATGCCCAACAGTAGATGGAACGTCAAAGAGTCATCTTCCTTCCAACTCTCGAAACGTTATCTTTCTCGCGATGATCCATAAAGAGCATCAGACATATCGCGATCACGATGACCCTGATAAGGCCAAACACCCGAAGGTTATGGTGGCCGGGGGAGGGGAGGGCACCGGCGCAGTGGCCGAGTTCGGAGCAGAGAGCACGAAGCACCCCTCCCCCCGGCTGATGTGAGCCGGCCTCGCTCGTCCAACCCTAGGGGGTTGGTATTGCAAAACAATGGTGAATGTTTTCGAGAGGCCAAGTTCCAAGTGCAAGCGCAGCAAGCTGGTTGCGCCCGCTATCTTCCTCTGGTTGCGAAGGTGACCATATCATGACCGAATCAAGCGCAAGTGAGTCTATGTGGCGATAAGCCTTTGGGAACGTGGTGTTGATGGATCAATATCATGGAGGTGTGAAGTGTGTTTGGGTTCCTTTGGGGCGCGTGGCATCGGCCAACACGGACGGCATCGGCTTCAAGAAACCGATCATGTGACCGTCGTCTTGGGCTCTCCGGGCCACATCTACGGTGCTGCTATCTATAGCAAGCTCCATGTCTGTTCTCCAGGTTCTCCACACCGACAATGAGGCTAGACTGAATTGGGGTATCGCAGACGGGCATGGGTGACTTATAAGCCGTCTTGCAACTGTACACGATGCTATCATCTTGAGGGGTTATCACCAGAAGAGTTTTTCTAAACCCGGAATACATCATTATTATTTACATCTCCTTTCCCTTGTCACCAGACAAGAAGGACTCACACATACACACACATACATCATGGATCCCTCACAGCGCGTCGTCATTATCGGGGCCGGCATAGTTGGTACCAACATCGCTGATGAGCTGGTCTCGCGGGGGTGGACCAACATCACAGTGGTCGAACAGGGGCCATTGGCCATGCCGGGTGGCTCAACATCTCATGCCCCCGGTCTTGTGTTCCAAACTACGGGTTCCAAGACTATGAGCTCCTTTGCAAAATACACGGTACAAAAGCTGCTCTCAATAGAATGCTTCAACCAAGTCGGCGGCCTTGAAGTGGCAGAAACGCCAGAGAGACTCGAAGAACTCAAGAGGAAACACGGTTATGCCTCCTCCTGGGGCATCGAGGCCAATCTGCTCACCGCCGACGAGGTCAAGAAGCTTTACCCCCTTATCAGCACAGACGTGGTTCTTGGCGGCCTGCACATTCCAACCGATGGTCTTGCATTGGCTGCTCGCGCAGTTCAAGTGCTTATCGAGCGCACTCGGAAAGCCGGTGTCCGTTATCTTGAGCACACCCCGGTCACGGGCATCACGCGGAGCCAGGGCCGAGTCACAGGCGTCGAGACGAAGAACGGTGCGATTCCCGCCGATCTCGTCATCGCATGTGCCGGCCTGTGGGGCGTTGAGGTCGGTGCCATGATCGATCTACCGATCCCACTGCTGCCCGTCGGCCACCAGTACGCAAAGACGACCCCCGTGCCAGCGCAGAAGGGGAAGAAGCTTGAGGTGAACGGCGCTCAACTACCCATTCTTCGCCACCAGGACCGGGATCTTTACTACCGCGAACATGGTGAACAGTATGGTATTGGCTACTACGGCCACCGCCCTCTTCCCGTGGTCGCTGCCTCGCTTGGCGAGACGCCCAAGCATGTCGATGAGCACAACATGCCATCGCGTCTAGACTTTACCCCAGATGACTTCAAGCCGGCATGGGAACTCACAAAGAAACTTCTCCCTGCCCTTGCCGAAACGGAGATCGAATACGGCTTCAACGGCATCATGTCTTTCACTCCAGACGGTGGTCCTCTCGTCGGTAGAGCACCCAATTTGGAAGGGTTCTTCGTCGCAGAAGCAGTCTGGGTGACACACTCCGCCGGTGTTGCTCGCGCGGTAGCCCAGCTTCTGACCACTGGAAAGTCCGAGGTCGATCTCGGAGAGTGCGACATTTCTCGCTTTGAACAAATTCAACTCGCGCCCGAGTACGTCAAGGAGGTCTCTACGCGGAATTTTGTCGAAGTTTATGACATCTTGCACCCTCTTCAGCCGCGCGAGTCACCGCGCAACCTCCGCGTCAGCCCGTTTCACTCCCGCCAGAAGGAACTCGGCGCTTACTTCCTCGAGGCAGGGGGATGGGAGCGTCCGCAGTGGTTCGAAGCCAACGCGGCGCTTGTCAGCCAGCTGCCTGACAAGTGGAAGCCAAAGAAGCGTGATACCTGGTCAGCGAGGTACTACTCCGACATTGCTGCCGCAGAAGCCTGGAAGACACGGACAGCGGCTGCAATGTACGATCTCACGCCAATCCGCCGGCTGGAAGTTTCTGGACCCGGATCAGCCAAGCTTCTTCAACGGCTAACCACGAGCAATATCGACACGGCGCCGGGTAATGTCACCTTTACACTTCTCCTTGATGACGAAGGTGGTGTTCTCAGCGACATCTTTGTTGCCAGGCTTCGCGAAGACACATTCCAGCTTGCAGTCAATGGCCCCGTTGACCTTGCTTACTTGGAACGAGAGGCTCGTCTCCAAGTCAAGGCGTCGCCGGCCCAGTTCGTTCATGTCCGCGAAACCACCGGAGGTACGAGTGGCATTGGTCTCTGGGGACCCCGCGCCGCCGACATCATCACTGGTATCAGCTCAGACAACCTCAAAGACATGCCTCACTCGCAGGTCAAGACAGCCATCATTGCTGGTCTCCCGGTTACTGTCGTGAGCCTATCATTTGTTGGTGAACCCGGCTGGGAGATTTACACCAGTGCAGAAAACGGCCTGCGTCTGTGGGATACTCTTTGGAAGGCTGGTCAGCCCCATGGAGTCATCGCCGCAGGTCGCAGCGCCTTCAGTGCCCTGCGCCTCGAAACTGGATTTAGGACGTACGGTGTCGATGTGACCACCGAGCACACTCCCTTTGAAGCCGGTCTTGATTTTGCCGTCGACTTCAGCAAGGAAGGATATGTCGGTCATGACGCCATCAAGCGCCTTGCAAAAACTAAGGTCAACAAGCAACTCCGTTGTCTTACAATCAATGACGGGAGCTCCGTTGTTCTTGGTAAGGAGCCCGTGTTACTCGATGGAAAAGCAGTCGGGTACGTCACGAATGCCGCGTTTGGCTACACAATCGGGAAGCCCATTGCCTATACGTATTTGCCAAGCAGTGTGGAAGAGGGCGACGTCGTGGAGATTGAGTATTTTGGAAGGAGGATTGAGGCAACTGTGGCGACGGAACCACTTCGTAAGGCACAAGTGAGTGAGCAGACGGCTATCTCATCACCAAAGCGGATCGTTATGAAGTCGAGGTTGTAATCAGTTGATGGGTAGGCGTATGGGGCGTTTTACGGGCACTACTTTGCATAATGATGAATCAAATGAACTTTCAATAATAGTAATGTGTGCGCATTATGAGGACTATCTTACATGCGAAGCTTCTGGAACTGAGAAATATCTAAGCAGAGGACTCTACATTATGGGAAAGACAGGTATCACTCAAACCTGACGCAGGCGTTGTGACTACCCTGTTTCCTACCATCGATATAGACAGTAAACTCCACAGATGCTCCCGATGGTATCATCTCTACCACATAAGTCATCTTCTTAGCCATCGTACCATCAATAGTCATGATGTCAGGCAAACTGGAAAACGGAACGTCGAGCTTGCAATCAATGTAGCAAAAGTCATTGACCTGAAATGTGCGCCGATCTGGCACTTCCGCCGCATCGCATTCGCAGATGCCAACAGAAAAATGACCTCCGACGTCTTCTTTATAAATCTCATAATAGGTGAATCGTACTGGTTCCTTCTGAGAAACAATTTCGCCCTATAAAGAAGTTTAAAGTGTGAATTTGGTGTTCCGCCAGGGTCATATATGCGGGAGATTTACTTTTCTCAGGTACCAGTGCATTTGATTCTTGGCTCTCCAGACCCCCAAGTAGACATCGTACTCTTTGTCTTCTTGAAGGTGCTTCTCCCGATCAAACTCCGCTCGGTAAGTAACTCCGTAGCTTGATCTTGATACTGTCGAGGTCACCTCAATAGTAGGCACCTTAGTTCTGTAATCAGGACGTTTAATAAGGGTTTGATCTTCAGCTCGGTAGCCATCAAGAAATCCCTTATGGACTGCGCCTCTGCAGATTGCGGTTCTTCTATGCACGATATCAGCCTTAATTGGTACGCTCTTTAAATACTACATATGAAGTAATGAACAGCCACTTACGGCTGTATACCCCCCGACTGCAGGACTTTCATCCCATGCTGCTCCTTGAGATGGTCATACAGGTATGGACTGGCGCCTAATCCTCCGACAAGAATGATTCCCTACGTAGGGAAGCACAGGTCAGTGATTCAAACATTTTACGACTGATATCTTGTTTTCGGCTTACGGTAATTGTCAAGCCAGACCTCGTCGCCATTCTGATCTGCTTCGCAACCAGCTCATCAATCCCTTCAAAAGAGTCTATGAAGGCTCTTTGGATGTTGGTTCTGTTTCTACACTCAGCTAATTGATAACGACGTTATTCAAGGTTTGGTTTACTTACTCCTTGAAATGAATCCTTCCGTTCTTGATGATTGGCTCTTTGCAGAAGTCGTTGAGATTGAACTCGCTGAAAGCTTCGGCTGGTATTTCAACAATGTATTCTCGATGGGTAAGATTGGGTACGAAAGTTGGTTTGATGAGTGCCTCCCACTCATTTTTCATGATTCTCTTCTTCCCAGTGTCACTCAGATGGTTCCATCTTGAGCCTAAGCGAGCTTTGCACGCTCTCTCAAAGGCTTCGTCAATGAAGATGCCACCACAAAGGCTACCTAGTAAGTAGGCGTTGTCAGCTTTTATTCTAAGCCGACCAATCTCAGTTATATGAATGGTGTTACCTGTTCCTTCCACTGCTTCTTGCATCGATATGGGTTTGGTCTGATCGATTTGGTAGCTAATGAGATCCTAATGATAATCAGATACATCAAACATAGACGGGGCCAATAATCGAAACATCGAGGAGAGTTTACACTTACCACCGTACCACCACCAGCATCGCAAATGATGTACACATCGTTCTTGCCCACCTTTCGGCCTGGCTCGCTCAAAGTTGACAAAGCCGCGGCTTCGGGCTCAGGTGCCAGAGTCAATCTAGTTTCTCCTGCCACCCGTGAATAGAGAATTCCTGCCTGCTCAGCGGCTGTCTCCATTGCCTGCCTCGCATAACCCTTCCAGATGGCAGGTACTGTGATGACTATGTGCAGTCTCATGGCGTCGACGACTTCTTTCCCTCTCGCCTTAGTAATGGTATACATCGTGTGATTGAAGAGTGCCCGCAGAAAATCCGCCACAAGCGCAATGGCAGTCTTCCCAGAATCTCTCAGCATCCTCTTGCCTCGCAAGATGAATTCAGATGCGCAAAGTTCAGGGCCAAGATCTTCGTCTTTGAGGAGGAGTAGTTTGAACCAGCGGATTGGGTCTGCATCATCAGGTATATCATATCCCCACATCATCGTTTCGTCTTCGTAGTAAAGCTCTGTTGGGGCTTTGCCTTCTTCAGGACCCTTACCAGGCCAGGTGGTGATGATGTTGATGTGGTCGTTTTCGAATTCTTCAGTCGTAGCCCAAGCTACCCCAGAGTAACTAAGTGAGAATCACTTCGTTAAAAAGAATATTCTCAAGTCCAAATTCTGAGGAGAAAGGGAGACTAAGTTTACATACGTCGTCCCAAAGTCAATTCCAATGACAAGTAAGTCATCATCTTCCTCACCATTTGATACCCTCCTCTGCCCACTGTGAGATTATGTTTCGTTGGAAGGAGTATTGCGTTGAAGACTAACCTGCACTTGGATATTGTACGAGGGTCGCATGAGCAGATGTAATGCTTTGTTGATGAACTATATGGAGCACGTCAAGAGTAGTAAGTAGAAGGCCTAGATGCAGATCGGTGTCCAATGATTCACATTCGAGGCTGGTCATTGTGGAAACTTTGCTGCCTTTTATGGTCGACAGAGAGGAATATTCAACGTATGTTGGCGGCCTGCAGGCGAGTGCTCAGAAGATAGATGTGTCCGTCAAGGCAGGCTATGCTAAAGATTTTCTTTGGGGGCGGGCGCCTGCATTTCAGGCTGACCACCGTCCTGATCTTTTCCACAAGTACCACAATGAAACAAAATTACCTCCGCCACGAAAGCTGTTACTAAATGATCGAAATTTAAGGCATGGTTTATCTAGATAGTTTGAATCCCCATAGATTTCTTTGGCAGATGCTGTTTTGGACAATTACATATATCAGTTGTACTATAGCTACGCCTATTTTACTGCTGGAAGTGATCGGTGTTCTCCAATTACTGTGTATTGTTTGGATCCTGGAAACATCACCGATGCAGACAGAAGACTGCCAGGCTGTACGTGTTGGTTCTTGAACAGACTCTCACCTGAATCGACATGTCATGAACCTTGCATTTTCCCCTTCTCGGCGCTTCGGCACGAGTCTATGCCGGTAACAGTTCTTGTTCGCCTCAAAAAGTTCTGACCTGGCTAGAAACGACTGTTCCGGCAAATTTCAGCTGCAAATTTTCTGATGCATACCTCCCTTGCCTTCAGGTTGTCAATTTCACAGATCTGAGGTTTGAGACGCAGTCCCATGCAGCATTCTTGAGTATGGAAAACTCTGGCACACTCAACGAGTTTCTTCCATCCCGTGCTGTAGGATCAAATTCGTCAGGCGACGGAATCAACGGCGCCGTTTGCTGACCCGACAAGCCTAAACGCCGCTGAGCCTGCTGCATCACACCACAAAAAAAGTTCGGTGAATAGGAGCTGACCTGCAGCCAGGTCATTTGGCGCTTGGCGACTCGTAATTGATCAATCAGAACGCCGAGAGTACAATGAAAGAGGAAGCCTACTCGAATTTGGAGGCTTTTTGTGTGACTGTGCCCGGTCTAACGGCCGTCTACCGAATTGATTTTGCCTCGTAATGCACGCAAGGGGTGCCACACCAACTTCATCTAAAGAATTGAGAATGTTCATACTAGTAGGCGAGGCTCACCAAGGCAACCGACCGGGATTACCAATAAAATTCCAGGGCTAACTTGGTTTGTTTGTCCCCCGCGGAATGATGATCCTCCGCCGTTGGTTTAAGGAGAGCCAGCGTATCCAAATTTGCGCCGAGCTGAAGCTCCTTCATGACCCATTAGCTGCCATTACCTTCGGCGAAACAAACTGACACCTATGCTTCTTAGAAGCTACAAGGACGAGATCATACCCAATCTTCTTCTTTCTCAACACTGCCGAGTTCATTCTCAAGTCAACGGAACCTTTCACATCTTTGTCCCAGCCTTTTCATCATGACAGAAAAGAGTTCGAATGTCTACAACTCATCTAGCCGACCGCAAGCTCGTCGAACATGGCCACGAGATGGTGAACGATCGACTTCAAAGAGGGAGCTTCCCCGCCACGACAACTTTCAGGAGCAAGATTACTTCGACACAGAGGCAGCCGGAAGTCCTCCGTTGACTTGGAGGAGCGGAAAGTCATCAAGATCTGTAAATACTACGTGCTGTTCTATATTACAATGAACAGAAGAAAGTAACAAGCCTGGAACTGATGGATCTTGCTAACCTGAAGATTGAACTCCTGCAGTCTACAATTGATACCAATTCAATTCGGCAATCGGAATCCTCGGCCGAACTAGACCTGAATAGCTTGGGTCACACATGGGATCAGAGGCCAAACCCTGAAAGAAGTGAACATGAAGGAATGAAGGATGGATTAGATGAGAAGGAGGTCACACTAGAGTCTTTGCAAGTCGAGCTGCAGCGAAAAGATGCCGATCTCGCTGATATGCGTAAACGCTGGAAGCAGACAGCTAAGGAGCTAAACAGGCTGAAGATGTCACAAAAAGGAGGACTTTATGAAGTGGCAGATCGGCACTTGGTGGAACTGGCCACCAGACTACGATACAATATTCGAGACCTTGCGATCCGGAATTTTGAGGGCAAGATGAGACCCCGGGATTCAGTCCGCGAACCCAGAGGATCCAGATTCTTGCATTACTTCGGCCCTGTTGTTCATGATACAACAGTACAAAACGCCCTACTAAAGTCTGGAAACAGACGCTCGAGCGTTATTCAAGCATATCTGTGGGAAATTCTCACCGCAGAGATATTCGGTCGATACCTTTGGACAGGATCCAAACTATCTGGGGCCATTCAAGTCTTGAATAACCACATGAGACAAGGTAGGAGTATAGGATTCGTCCCATTCTCACGTTGAGACATTTTACTGAAATGAATTGCAACCAAGAGAGATGTCCAATTGCCAGTTTTGACG